GACAGGCGTGCGGGGGGCTGTTGTTTCATGGGGTCAGAGATGAAGGGACTACCGGAGATGCATGGCGGCGATCATATTCCCACAAGAACAGGAATGTATTTAATGTCGCTGGGCAGCACCATTAAAGATGGTTAGAATGGCAACTTTCATGTGATGTGTATTTTATCACAGTCGAAAATAATAAAAACAGGAGAGTCAGGTAATCACAAGAGAAAGGAAAGAAAAAAGTCCTCCTTTGCCAAGAAGAACAAATAATTGGCTACGTTATTTAAAAGTCTTCGTACTGGGGCACCTGGGGGGCTCAGTCAGTTAAGCATCCAACTCTTGTTTTCAGCTCAGGTCACCATCTCACAGATTGTGGGTTTGGGCCCCTCATCAGGCTCTGTGCTGACCATGTGGAGCCTGCTTGGAGCTCTCACTCTCTCTCTCTCTGACCCTCCTCTGCTCACTCTGCCTCTCAAATGAATAAATAAACTTTAAAAAATAGTAAAAAGCTTAAAAATTAAAAAAAAAAGTAAAACAAAAATAAAAGTCTTTGTAGCAAGACCAGAAAGCCTGACCAGGACATCCCATCTCTTAAACACCGCAGTGGCTCACTACTGCCCACAGCTAACATCTGATCTCCTGTAGCGGAGAAGGCTCTGTAATAACTGGCCCTATAGCACCTGTGGGACAGGAAGAAAAGACTCTAGTCTCCTCTCCCCTGAGGGCAAAAGCCTTCCCATGCAGCCCAGAGGAGAATGAGAGAAGAGGAAACAGTCAGCTGTGGGAAGGGGAGGGGGTGGGGATAAAGAACAGAGCAGAATGGGGGAACGGAGAGAAGAGCCTGCTTGAGGCTCGAGAGAGGAGAGGGGGTGTGGGGAGCTTTGAGGTGGGAGCCATTGAGAACACATCTGGGAGAGCAAACACGAAGCCCACCATGGGAGCGAGACCAGCTTCAAGAGAAACAGGGAGAAGTTTTCCTTGGCATTCTGCAGGCCTCTCTGGGACGCCAGGGGAGAACCCGGCAAATGCCACAGCGGATTTTCAATTAGATGGGATGTGGAACACTCGCTTTGTCGAAGTGTCATCATGCCAAGATAGGGTGTGGGGGGTGGGATTTGCAAGCACGGCCTTGTCCCCTGGGGACACTGATGTTTGCATTCACCCTGGCACACGCACCATGCCATTCCTCCCAGGCCCCTTGTTCTGGCTGTTCCTGCCCATGACACACACACCCTCACCCCCTTCAGCTGGGTTCGGCCTAGACCTGACCTCCTGCAAAGCCTGCCTGGATGTGGGTCCCCCTCTCCGTGCCCCTCAGTACTCTGCTCCACTCATTTGGCTTCTGCCAAATGGCTTTCCAAGAGTTATTTGTAAAACATCCACCTGGGGTCTGCTTCCCCCACTGGGCTTTGAAAACTTGGAAGGCAGACCAATGAATCATCCTTATTCCCCAGCCATGAGCACAGCACCAAATAGCTAGCCTACTGCGTGGTCTGGGGGGGAAGCCACATTACTATTTAGGGCTCTGGTCTTCTTTCCCTACAAGAGGGCTCAGAGAGTACGGTCACTGACAGGAGCACTTGGGAAGATGGACAAGAGAGGTCTCTGCCGATGATTTGGGAGAGTCCTTGGGATGATGCTTTCTGAGCTGTAATATGATTTCACTAAAGCATTTTATTCCTTGTTCCCCAACGGGGACACTCTATCTTTCCATTAGGAATTGTGGGGCCCACAAGCTCCTTCCGGAAATGTCACAGCCTGCAGGGAAGACTAGATGGGCCCCAGGAGGCCAGAGCCAAGTTGGCAGGGAGGACTGCATGCCTGGTGGCCAGGCCTCCATCCTAAGGGGTGTGTGAAATATGCTAAGGCACCACAGTCAGCCACCAAGGCTCTTGGAAGCTGGGCCCCGGCCGGGAGTCCAGCATCTTTCCCACCATCTTATTCTGATAGCTTAACCCAGTCTCTAGTCTCCAACTCAGAGCTGGGGTGGGGGGAACGCTAAGGAACAAGCCTTTGGGGAACAGAGCTGGCTGGGGTACTAAGGGAAGTGGGTTACTGATGGCCTCAGATCACTGCTCTGAGCACTGCCCAGCTATCAGGGCCCAAGAGAAAGGAGGTGCCACCTAGGTCCTATTGTCCAGAATGGCAGTAGCCCCCTCCTCAAATTATGGGGGACCCTATCTTATTTGAAGAGGTTCTTGCATACCATTTCTGGGAGGGGGCTCTGTCTGTAATAAAATAAGTTCTATTACAAGGGATATGATTTTTAGAATAAGGGAGGGGATTTTTCTTCTTCATCTTTAGGCTGGGACATCTCCCTATAAGAGAAGAGCAATTGAAATGACATTACATCTGGGACCACTGGAAAAACAGGACCTGGTCATGCTAGAAAAGTAGACTCTGAAGGCTTCTTATTTTAAACAGGGAACAGACATGTTCTGAGTAGGCTTAGGGGTGGGGGATAGAATCAAGACCTAAGAGTCCACCAAAGAGTTCCAGGGAAAGAGATATCAATGCAATGTAGGAAAGAGTTCCTCATGACCTCAGCTATGGAAGGCGGACCAGCCCATCACTAGATGTGTCCCAACCAATAACAGGAGATGCTGCCTCCAGCCGAGATTGCTGTCAGAGGCGTCCCAGCAGCCACGGTGGCAGTGCTAAGAGGTCTTCATGGTGACTGCCACATGGGTGCCACATCCCAGAATGTCTCTATCCATGTCCACTTTGGTCCCAAAGTGTGTCACTGTTAGAAGAGAAGAAGGGGGGAAATAGTGGGGGAGAAGGAGGGAGGTAAACCATGAGAGACTCCTGAATGCTGAGAACAAACTGAGGACTGATGGATGTGGGGGGAAGGGGGGGTGATGGGCATGGAGGAGGGCACTTGTGGGGATGAGCACTGGGTGTTATATGGAAACCAACTTGACAATAAACTATTAAAAAAAAAAGAAGAAGATATTTTTTCTCTGAAGCTGCCCACATTACAGACTCAAAACCTGAAGGGACAACATTTTCGTGACTGGGGAGAGTAATTCATTTGGGATAAATGGCAGTCGCCTAGCAGTCTCCCTTTCTGAAATCCGGGCAAATATTGACCAAGTTCCAGATTTCATTAGTGTTGCTTCTAAAAACTTTTCTGGGGGCGCCTGGGTGGCTCAGTCCAACTTCAGTTCACATGATAATCTCACAGTTTGTGGGTTCGAGCCCCATGTTGGGCTCTTTGCTGACAGCTCAGAGCCTGGAGCCTGCTTCAGATTCTCTGTCTCCTCTCTCTCTGCCTCTACCACTATTGTGCACTTGCTCTCTCTCTCTCTCTCTCAAAAATAAACATTAAAAAAATAAAAACTTTTTCTAGATAGTCCCATACCCTGCAGTAGACCCAAAGTTTCAATTATATTGGAAACCAGCATGGAGGGTGACCCTATGACAGAATCAGAGTTTTTAGAATTTTAAGGGAACTATAGAGTTTACCCTACTCTCACCTGGCTTACCAAAAGTCATGATGCCAAAACAGAAACAGTACAGGTGATATTTTTCATGAATAGGACGTTTAATTCTAAAACTCCGGAAGACATTAATCCGATAATTTTCTAGAGTCAACATTTATTCCATGCCGACTCTATTCTGAGTGATGTTGTAGGCACTTGTCATCTAATTAATCTTTTACTAATTCTTCAAGATGACATGATCTCTATGTTAATTGTGGGAAGTGTAGCTCAGAGAGGTTAAGTGACTTGAGCAAAATCAGCCAGCAGTCAGGAGGCAGAGCTTGGATCTGACTCCAGATCTGATCTAGCCCATTGCCACTAAGAGAATCTTTGATTATAAATTGCAAGACTGCTAATGAGCAGTGTTTTGAAGAGGAAAAATTTCATTTTAATATAAGTAGAAGCTTATAAGACTATGAATACATAATTTTCAATACATCAGAGATCAGATCCTTCTCAAATACATGCTAAAATATCTCTATACAGTCTCCCACTTCAATACAAAAAGGGATTCAAACAAAAATTTAAATTCTAAGATTCACATGGGTTTATTTCATATCCCACCTCAGCTCTGAAACTTAAAGCTTTGAGATGCCTACATGAAAGACAATAGTGTGGGACCTTCAAAGTCACCAAGTTTGGAGACTGTGAAAATGTACTTACTAGTGTCACAGGCCTCTCTGGGACTCAAATGAACGCTGACAATGCTTTTCTGCCCCCCAGAAAAGTATATTCCTACAACATTTTGCCCTCACCTTCATGTTCCTTAAATTAAGAACTCCTGACTCATCTCCTTTTATAGATGGGGAAACTGAGGCTCAGAGAGGTTAAATGACTTGCCTGAGGTCACACAGCCAATTCACAAGCAGAGGCAGGGCCTGAACCCTAGCCTCCCAATCCCCATTCTGATAGTCTGCCACATTGCTTCTTCCCAATCAGGATCAAAACATAACACATTTTTAAAAACATAGCACATTTCTTCCTAAACTGCCATTTCCTTCTTTATCTCTTTAAATAGTCCTTAGATTGTATTGTATTTCTGTCCCAGGAACGATAGCCTTGGGGTTATGAGGTCTGTTTCTCAAGTGGTAATGAACAAGCAGCTCTTTGCAAGAGGAAGATCATAAGTAAAGCCCTTCCATGACATTTCTTTAAAATTAACTTTATCTCAGAACAGAGCCCACATGAGGTATTCTGGCTCACATGTGGCCGGGGGCGGGGCGGGGGGAGGGGGCGCCTGTGAGCCAGAGAAAGGAAGACTGAAGAAAGCAAGACTTGGACAGTGTTACCGTGATCAGGGAGAAAAGTTCTGGTTGTTACCATCCTCCCCCACTGCCCAGAGGCACCTAATTGAAGAACAGCCAGGAGGCTGCAAATGAGCTTTAAGGAAGGAAGGAGGGAAGGAAGGAAAGAAGGGATCCTCTCAGCAACACAGACCTAGAAATGAAGACAGCACGGAGGCCAGAGGGAAGGTTCTGGTCAGCAGTGGCCACAGAAGTGGGCACCCTAGGTCGCCCTAGCTGTACTTACTGTCGTCTTCACTCAGATCCCTGTCCATGGTGCAGACGTCCAGCCAAGGAGGTGTCTGCCCTCCCAGTGGGCTCAGGCCGCTGGGATCTGAGGGACCACCCACAGCCCCTCCCAGAATGCCAGGCCCATTGTTACCCTATTTGAATACAACAGAGGGAAACATCTCAGGGGAGCAGAGTGGCCCTCAGAGCTGCTGCTCTGGACCCAATCTGCAGGGGTTCTTGGAGCTCCTACTCACAAGAACTTCTACTTGCCAGGCTCTCACGGGGTGCCTCTAGTCACTGGTGCCCATTTTTCTGAGCTGGGATTCAAACCCTCATCTGTGTGACTCATGAGTCGGAGCTCTTGACCACTGTGCTAGCTTGCTTATCTGTTGGAGGCAGGCTTCTAAGTGTCGTCAGGTCACAGAGGAGGGGATACAGAGACATGTAATAACACACAGAGGTTACCTCCTCCAGGGGGAGAGAAGATATGGGTGGCATCTCTGAAGTCTCGAGTGCCAACCTCCTCATCTCACTGGGGAGGCAATGAGGCTGGGACCATGAGGTGGTGCTCCGAAGCCATGCGGCACGTGATTGGCAGAGCCAGTGCCCAACACAGGCTGCAAGCCACTGCTCTCACCACCCCGTGAAGCATCTGTAGGCTTTTCAAAGTCTCTTCCTGAGCCTTTTGCACTGGAGTTTGAAAACACTTCTACCCAACACTTAGAGGACCACTCCTCTCTTCTGGAGGAGTCTGGACCTGGGTCTCCTGGAGGTGGAAGCAGACAGTTGTAAGCTGGAGTCAACAGCCCTGCATTCTTGGCAATGACGTCCCACGCCTGGGCCAAAGCAGCCTTGTTCCATAGGGTGAAGCAAGTACCCCATTCCCTGCTTGCCCACCCAGCAGTGGCCAGAGGGTTGTACTATGATTTCCTTCAGTGAAGACTGGCTTTTGCACTTACCAAGGGAAGCACTGTGACCAACTTGTCAGCGGCTTGTCTTGGATGGCCACAGGTCATGTGCAGATGGTTTCAAGGAATCCCACAAAGTGCCTTTGGTCTCTCTGTCCCTCTTTCACCATCACCATTCACTGCTCACCCCCAACAGAATGCTAGTGGTACAATTTGGCAAATGCTTCTTAAACACAGGAAGATGTCACCAAATAGGTTTTTTATGGTTGGTAGGAGCACCAAATTTCTTAAATTTGAGAATTATGTAAGTTTCAGTACTGCATGTTCATGAGAAAGACCCAGATCTTGAAAAATAAATACAGGGTTTTATTTTTATGGACACTGTATGTACCCTACTGGATATAGTCTTATAATACCTTTATACATTCAGCAATTTTTGTTGTTGTTGTTGTTGTTGTTGTTGTTTTTGTTTTTTTTTTTTTATTTCTAGGAGAGAGAGAGAGAGACAGCGTGAGCAGGGGAGGGTCAGAGAGAGAGGGAGTCACAGACTGAAACAGGCTCCAGGCTCCGAGCTGGCAGTCAGCACAGAGCCCGACGCGGGGCTCGAACCCACGAACCGCGAGATCATGACCTAAGCGAAAGTCGGACGCTTAACCGACTAAGCCACCCAGGCGCCCCTATACATTCAGCAATTTTTAAGCGCTTGTAGAACTAACTCCATGGTAACAAGATTACCATGAATGTGTATGTCTGGGTGTGCACATATTTTACTCTAAACATGTTGTGTATATGTGTCTATGTCTGTCTATGTCTGTATGTGTATGTCTGTGTGTGTGTGTGTGTGTGTGTGTGTGTGTGTGTGTGTTTGAGCCTAAACACAATAGACAGATGATGGATGGATGGATGGATGGATGGATGGATGGATGGGTGAATGGATAGATAGATATACAGACAGACTACATGTGGCTTAACTAAAACAATAAACCACTATTACACCTCAAGTACTTTTTAAGCAGCAATATATGTTTGCTTAAATCCCTCAGCAGCATTTGAAAGAAACAAGTATAGGAAATTATTTTAGTGGCAAACAAAAGGAACAGAATATTAAACAGAGCTGAGTATTAAAGAAATCAGAAATCTGGAGCCTGCAGAAATGTAGATAACCATAAGTTTTATCTTAAGAATGAGCATTCAGACCAAAGCGTGTGGTAGTCACTTGCTGTGCATGTTAATAAACATCTCTTAAAATACACAGAAGATAAATAAACCAACTATTAGACCTTTCTAATCTTACTTAGGCATGAAGACAGGACAGGAAAGCAGTCAGTAACCGTGTGCTTGAGTGACTAAGGGCAAGTAATATACCCCTTGCCACCTAGTATTCATGGTGTCAGCAGGAACAATCTTCATTAATTCTAGGACCCAGGCCAGCATGAAGCTAATACTGGTCCCCACCTCCTGCTTGTAACAAAGGGGCTTTGGTGTGAGAAGACAGGCAAGATCTGTGTGCCAGGCTTCTTACACTCATTCTGTGTCCCTGCTATTGATGTCAGCGAGTGGGTTCCTTAGAGCTCTTCTTTCTGAACCAGTCCTCAGAAGTCCATGGATATGACCCATCACTATGCGTTCTATTCATGGTAAGTACTCATGAAACATTCCCTGGATGAACATAGCTGCCCAAGAGCTGACTCCACCCATTCATTTCTGACTGCAAACCTTGTTTGTTCTTGGAAACAAAGTCTATGTAACTTCACTGGATGATCTCTGGGTCTGAAGGATATGTGGCTGAGGGAAACAGGTCAGGGTGGTGGAGGGTTTAGAAGGAAGTCAAGAAATCACATTGTATGACTGCAGTTGAATATGATGGCAAGAGAAACGGAAGGGTTTAACAAATACTTTCGAGTATTTTTAAACATTTTTTATAGTTTTTGTTTATTTTTGAAACAGAGAGAGACAGAGCATGAGCAGGGGAAGGGCAGAGAGAGAGGGAGACACAGAATCTGAAACAGGTTCCAGGCTCTGAGCTGCCTGCACAGAACCCAACGTGGGGCTCGAACCCACAACCTGCGAGATCATGACCTGAGCCGAAGTTGGACACTTAACCAACTGAGCTACCCAGGCACCCCTACCTTGGAGTATTTAAATGACTGTCCTGGGGGAAGAGGTGGCAGAATGTACTCTCCGGACACTCACTAATGAGCAGGTGTGCTGAGAGCTGAGAGCAAATGGGGGACCATTTGCAATTTACCGAAGGGAGGGTCTGTCTAGTGAGTAAAGTGTAAAGCTTCTTTCCGTTTGATTGGGCCTATCTGAAGATTAAAGCAGAAGCATGACAATTACACAAAGTGGGCAGTAATACAACATAACAGTTCATGGCTTCAGAGGTATAACCTGTGTTCAAAGCCCAAGGGTTCCTTTTTGGGCATCCCTGGAGGGCAGGTGAGGGGAAATGCCCCCGGGGGGGAAGAACTGTGAACAATGCACCTGGCTGTGCATTTTGCCTGCAAGAAGAAATGGCCACAAGGGAAGGGAACTGGTCTACACCAGTTCATGGGCTATGGAAAATGGCTTAACGGGATGGTCAGGAACTTTGGGAGGAACATCACTGGAAAACTGGTGACAGGAGGTTTGAGGAAGAGGTATACTGAGAGATTTCTCTGAATGGATAAGGAATATATCCCATGTTGCTGCTCACCAACTTCAGCAGAGGGGGATTTCAGGAATCAAGGGTTGATGACATGACCCAATTGTGGGCACACCAGTCAGGTCTTTCCTCAGCCACTGCTGCCATTGCCAGGATGGTCAAAGGGACAGGGAAGGAAGTTGTGCATGGGTTTCTGCTCAGCAGTGCTGGCCTGGCTGCAGCTAAATGCCCAGGCTGCCAGCAGCAAAGACCAACACTGAGCCCCAATATGGAGCTATTCTCTGAGGTGATTAGCCAGCTAGCAGGTGGCAGGTTGATTACATTTAACCACTTCTATCATGGAAAGGGTAGCGCATTGTTCTTCTGAAACAGATACTCTGAATATAGATTTGCCTTCCTTGCACACAATACATCTATCAAAACTACCATCTCTGGGGGTGCCTAGGTGGCTCAGTCAGTTAAGAATCTGACTTCAGCTCAGGTCGTGATCTCATGGTTCATGGGATCAAGCCCTGTGTCGGGCTCTGCTCTGCTCGCAGCTCGGAGCCTGGGGCCCGCTTCAGATTCTCTGTCTCCCTCTCTCTCTCTGCCCCTCCTCTGCTCATACTCTCTATCTCTCAGAAGTAAACATTAAAACATTTTTTTAAAAAGAGAAAAGTAACTTCAATCTCTAGACTCTAGCAAAAAGGGAGCAGCAGTTGTATCTTCTGGGACTAAAGACATGATCAGAAATTATCAGTTAGCCAAGTGCCCTGCTTTCCAATTCCCTCCCACTATAGCTCGTCCCCTTGGTGACCACCACTATTTTTTCTCCCACCAAAATGGTGGCTACCCAACATGGCCACTGTGTCTCCTAGGCTTCCTAATTAATTCACCTGGGCTGGCCCTGGGCTCTAGTTTCTCAGTCCAGTTGGTAGGAAGCAGTCTGTAAATAATACAGATTCCCAGGCTGCACCCCCAGAAATCCTGATTAAGTATGTTTGAGGTAGAATCCTGGGTTGTATCTCTTTTTACAAGAGCTCCAAGCAAGTCCAACTCAGGTTGTCTACACTTTTAAAAATACCAACATAAGGAAACCACTCAGGGTAATTGAGCATTCCAACTTCTTTCATACAAGAGTCATTTTAAGATGCAACCATTAGATGTTTAATGTGGTTACCTCACCATCTGTCTTAGGTTTTACTTCTCATGGAGGAATGGGGTACTTCCTTGGACTCCAGATGAAGACATGCTAGCAAGGTAGGTACTGGAGTGGGGTCAGTCTCTCATCAACTCATGGGTTTTCATTTTCTTCCTTGAAGGCCACCAGCCTTATGGGGGTGACAGTAATAAGCACAATGAGAATTGGGGAGGCATTTTAGAATCACAGCTGTTGCCTCAGTGGGTGGCAGCCCCACGCTGAGTAACCAACCCTAGGACCCTCAAATACAGACGCGTAACCATCTGCTGACAAGCTGACGGCACCAAGAACTCACCCAGAATTTTAAATTAT